GCCTACGACCAGCAGATATGGGAGAAGGCCGTGGAGCAGACCCAGATGAAGGTAGCGGCGGCGGGGTGGGGGGGGCGGCCCCCGCGCCCCTCGCCGCTAACTCGGCCATGTGTTCCGCCCTGCAGGGCTTCAAGAACAAGCCGAAGAAAAAGGGGCACATCCAGCCCGATCTGATCGACGTGGATCTGATCAGCGGTGAGCGGTGCTCGCTCTGTTCATTCTTCTCTGGGACAGGGATGCCACAGAGGGACCGGCTGGAGGTGGTTCAGAGGAGGGTTGGGTTTGATATCAGGAAAGGTTCTTCCCCTAGAGAGTGTTGGCACTACCCAGGCTCCCCAGGGAGTGGGCATTACCCAGGCTGCCAGAGCTCCAGGAGCCTTTGGACACCACTCCAGGGATGCCCAGGATGGGATTGTTGGGGTATCTGTGCAGGACCAGGAGCTGGATTTGGCAATCCCTTTGGGTCCCTTCCAGCTCAGGATATTCCATGATTCTGTAGGTGCATCACAGCTTTGAGCAGGGTGGTGGAAGCAGAACCTACCCTGGTGCCAGGGGAGCCCCTGCTTGTGAGCACTGAGGCAAAAGGAGCACTGAAAACCTGAGAGCAGAGTGGGAGGAATTCGGGCTGGCTCTGCAGGAGTGTTGGGTGGGAGCAGGGCAGAGCCGGGAAGGGTCAGAGCCAGAGCTCTGAGAGAAGACAAGGAGCTGCTTTAGCTGTGTCTGCTGGAACTGTGTAGCTTTGAATGGTGTCTGAAGCAGGGCTGCTGTCACCCCCTGCTCAGCTCTGTGGCAGGGCTGGGGCTGCCCAAAGGGGAACTCCAGCAAGGGAGTTCTTGTGATTCAGTTCATGATGGCTTGTTTCCCCTTCAATTCCAAGGCTCTACCTTTGCCAAAGCCAAGCCTGAAATTCCCTGGACATCGCTGACGAGGAAAGGAATTGTGAGAGTAGTGTTTTTCCCCTTGTTCAGCCAGTGGTGGATACAAGTCACTTCCCAGCGTATTTTTATGTGGCTCTTGGTGCTCTACGTTATGCAAGGTGAGGGAACACGCTGTGCCATAAACCTTCTCCTGCAAGGAATGTGACATCAAAGAATGTATGAATGTGGCTCTTGGGGAAATGGGTTAGGGGTTGACCTGGCAGTACTGGGGGAGTGGTTGGACTCGATGGTCTCAGAGGGCTTTTCCAAGCTTAGTGAGTCTATGATTTTGGAGTCCATAATATACAGCATGAGGATCTTGTATGGAACTTAACGTGCATTTCAAGGTGCGTGGCACTAGTAATTGCAGTAATTAAATAATAAAACAACAAAACATAGTAAAAACAAATAATTGAGCCAGACTCCTTAATTCTTGCGTTGGTGCCATTTCCCCCTCTCCAGTCGTAGCAGTGGTGCTGTACTTCATGGTGCCTGTTGTGAGTGCCAGTGAAGTGATGGGACCCCTGTGCCTTATGCTGCTGCTGGGGACAGTTCACTGCCAGATCGTGTCCACCCAGGTGAACAGACCTGCAGGGAACAACGGGCTCAGCCGGCGCCGCAGGTGAGCACCAGCAGAGCCCTTGGTAGGATCACAGTTGGACATGGTGGGGCTGGATTGAGCTTTCCCTCCTTCAGGTTTCTGCAGCAAAGATTCCCTTCGGATTTTGTCCCTCATGCCTTTCCCAGTGATGCCCTGATGTGCTGGGAGTATAGGCAGAATTTTTTTATTTGGAACTCAGTATTCTGTTTGCATGACTTCAGAAAAATGGCATCCAAAAAGCTGTTGAAATCTCATTCAGATCTTTTAAGAAAGACTTTAAAAGTAGCTTCTTGCACCAACTTAATTCTCCTTGTCTTAAATTCAGGAAGTTACGCAAACCTGTGGGTGTGGATGGGAACAGTTGGTCTCCTCCTGACAGAACCAGCAAGGAAGAGCAGTCTGGCTCTGCATCTCTGCTGACCAATTTATCCAGTCTGCTCTTCCAGAGGAGGTATGTGACCCCTGCTGGGTTTGTGCTGCTCATGACACTGGGAGCAATTTGGGACGTGGAGAATGAAGGCACAACGTGTGCTGTCACTGACATCCCCACAACCTGTCAGTCTTTTTTTGAATTAAAACTTTCGTGGCAATGTGGGAAGCTGATTTCTCAGGAATATTTAGTATGTCCTTATTAGATCATATAAAATTAGACTGTATAAAATTAGATCATGTGAAACCAAGTGTTAGATGAGCTGTAGAATGTGGTGGAATTTATTTATCAGATAAGTGACCTCATTTGAGTAAGCGCTGAGATTGTATTGCTGTTTTAGCTGAATTCCAAAAGAAATTGTGCCTTTTGTTTTGGACAGTTGTCTCATTTTGGCACCTTCCTTCTCTAAAAGTAACTCGAGGAAAAGGAGGAGAGATTGTATAGGATAATATTTCATGGTTTTCTCCTGTTTTCCCAGGTGAATTTCCTGGTGAGTTTCCAGCTCACAGGTGCTTTCTCTTCACAAGGAATTTTTGTTCTGAATTACGCTTATTTTTTAAAAAAATAAAACTAATGAAAACTTTCCCCTTGATTTAGAAGTTTTAAGATACTATTAGAGTTACAAAAGACATGTTGAGTGAGGGTGAAGTGGATATAAATCTTTTTTTAATAGACTCATCGCACAAAACCTGTCAGACAAAGAAAATTATTTATCCCTTAGGTATCCTGTTTGATGCTGCACCTGTGTGACAAGGGAAGACCAGAATGTTTTACCCCTAAGAGTTTTTCCCTGACATAAAAGCATTTAATTCTCTCTAATAAAAGCATTAATTTCTCTCCTAGGAATAGAAGAGTAAAGCTGGTAGCTGAGAAATGGACCGAGACAGAAAGTGCTGTGGGTGATTGCATCAAACCCAGACAGGCCAGATCTGAACACAGGCTGCTGCACTCCAAAGAGAAAAGTAAACTTTCTGATGGGGAGAAGAGCCATCAGGTACTGCCAGGGGAGATCCTTTGAAATCACAGTTTCAGTGTGTTTTCTGTGTGCCCAGAAGTGTGCTGGTATTTAACTGTATGGTTTGATCTAATACAAGATATTCCTTCCTGCTAATATTTGCCTGCATTAGGAAACCTAGAAACCCCTTTCTGCCTCTCACTGAGCAGCTGAAAAGGTGCTGGTACTTTCTTTTCATAATCATAGAATAGAATTCCAGAGTAGTTTGGGTTGGAAGGAATCTTAAAGCTCATCTCATTCCACCCCCTGCTGTGGGTAGGGACACCTTCCACTATTCCAGGCAGCTCCAAGCTCTGTCTAACCTGACCAAGTGTGGTCACAGACAGTGCTGGACTGTGTGTTTTACCAAAGTGCTCTGTTAACTGTTGACACTTCTGATCACAAGGTGTTCAGTTAAGGGAGAATGCTGATAATGACTAAATAAATTGGCCGTTTTCCAAAGCAGTTCTGTAAAATATTTTGTCTTGTAAGACTGAGACATCCCTTGGGGACAGAGAAAGAGCTAAAGCATTATGACCTCTGTTGAAAGCTTTGAAACAAAGATTCAAAGATTTTGGGAATTACTCTTGAGTTCCCTCTTGGCCAGTGGTGTGTTAACTCCACATGAAGAACTTGGAATAGATCCTGGGTGGAATTCTGTCATACTGTGCCATCCCACCCCCTCTCTGTGAAAGAGTTTGGAGAGGGGCAGAGCTTTGTATAGGGGCACAGCCCAGGATTTTGGGTTTGCTACCCCCCAGCTCATAGATACATCCGGGCTTAAGGCTTCTAGTAAGGCACAGCCCAGAGCTGCTGCTGCCGCCTCCTCTTCCTGTCCTTTCCCCAACTCCAACTCCACCCACCCAAAATTCTCTCTCATTACCTCTGGGGCAAGACAACAGCAGGGGACAGGAGTTAAAATCTGTGAAGTCTCTGTGGTGCCAAGAGAATTCTGTTTCTGTGTGCTGGGTCTGCAGGCATTGAGGCCTGTGCCAGGGTGGCAGCTCTGCCTCGAAGCCTTTGTTGGGACTCAGGCTGGTCCTTGGTGTGGCTTTGGCCGTGCATTTGCAGGATGATGGCACCAACAGGGACGGTGTTTCTGATGAGTTGTCAAGCGAGGAGGATGCTGGGGCCATGGCACAAAGGATCCTGCTACGCCACAGCATGGAAGGGGCTTCCAGTGACAACAGCTATGAGGAGAAGAAAAAGAGGCCTCTGGTTTCTCTCAACCAGGCTGTCTCACAGGTACCCAGGTGGGATTAGTGCTGTTTTCCACACCTTGTTTTGCTATGGATAATGAGGTAGTTTTCCTTTGGTCTTGGCAGGTCAAGCAAGCCCTGAAAGGTGCCAGAGACTCTGACAGTGTTGTGGAGTCTGAACTGGAATCCACATTATACAGGCAGGTATGGTTGTAAAGTCACGAGAGGGAGCTTTCCCAGGCCTAGCAGGGTTCACAGAATGGGTTGGGCTGGAAGGAACCTTAAAGCTCATCTCGTTCCAGCCCCCCTCCATCAGAACAGTTATGAAATGATTGTGCTTCAGAATCCTCAGGTGCAAGGTGTGACCTCCTCCCTCTCTGCAGCTTGGCAGCTTTGTAAACCTTCACAATGCTCACAATCCTGATTGTGCTGCTTTATTAAACAAACCACAAATAAACAAACAACTCTGTTGGAAGCAAAGGACAGTCCAAGCTGCCTCTAATTGCTTGTGCAGAATTGCTGCAATTGCTGTTGTGGTTGGGAGGCAGTCTTATGCTTGCAGCTTTTAAGCTATAAATTTTGATTTTAGAATAATAGACTAACTGAGTTGGAAGGGACCCACAAGGATCAAGTCCAACTCCTGTACATGAAGGAAGAAATCTATTCTGGGAGACATATGAAGTCACTTAATTGTTTTGGTTTTTTTCTCCTGCCACTCATCCTACCTGAAAGTAAAATAGAAATATGTGGATATCAAGTTGGATATCAATATGGATATATAAAAATTAATGCAAAATATACATGAAATATTAAAACAGATTATGCAAAATGCATAAAAAAGAACATTTTTGTATTAAAACACATATGTCAGTTTTTATTTTGTAGGTTGGGAATAGAGGTAGGAAGTGCTTGGGCTCTGTGTGAGTTCTGGTATAGAAGTGCTTTTTCCCCAAATATTGTCTTAAACCATTTCCACTGTGTGGGTGCAACTGGGAGCACTCAAAGCTCTGGGAAGCTGGGGGAAAAGAGGAGGAGGAGAAGGACAAGGAGCAAGGAGGAGGATGAGGACAAGGTGCTGGTTTTACAGACCGTGCATGGGCTGTGCGGTGTGACCTTTGCTGCTGTTGCAGGATCCCAGGTCGTGCCTGAGCGTGGGGCCCCGGAGCTGCAGTGTGAGCCGGCGGGACTCAGAGAGCACGCGGCAGGACTCAGAGACTGAGGACATGCTGTGGGATGATCTCCTGCACGGCCCCGAGTGCCGCTCCTCAGGCACCAGCGACAGCGAGGAGTGCTCTGCCAGGGACTCCCGCAGGGACCTGAAGGAAGATGTCTTCCAGCAGGTCGGTGATTTCCACCCAGGAGATGGGAGTGCTTCTCCCACTTCTCCCCCTGTCTTCCCAAATATGAGTGGCATGGCAACGAGGATGTTGTTGGTATAAGGTGAGCAACCTGGATGAGGCCAAAACCACGTGGAAGTCTGGAATGCTCTAAATAAAATCAGTGATTCAATGATAAAGTCCATCCCTCCCCTCTGCACTGCTGCTTATCCCAAAGCAAAAATGGAATTTCCCCCTCAATCCAATTGCTTATGATGATTTTTATTCCATCTCAATATTACACTTGATGATTTTTATACCATCTCTTTGAACATCTGTTATTGGAATGGAGGGTCAAGGAAACATCCAATAATTAATTGTATTTGTTTTACATAAAAGCAGCATGTTTATGGGTAAAACCTGGGTCACAGCCCTTTCTAGATAAAGGCATTACTCACAGCAGGACAGAAAGAGCTGACCCACCTTTTGCACTCCTCTCTCTTTTCTAGAACCATCTGTTTTGGCTTCAGAACACCAGCCCAGCATCTGCCAAAGTGAGTGCTCTGATCTGGGAAGGGAATGACTGCAAGAAGGTGGACATGTCTGTGCTGGAGATCAGTGGAATTATCATGAGCAGGGTAAGGGGGCCGTGTGGCATTGCAGCCTCTCCCTCACACTTTAGAAAATATCCACCAAAACTCCTGGAAATAGTTACACATGCAGATATTAGGGGCAGTATGAAACTGGTCCGTCCCCAGCTGCAAAGTGGGTTGTCCCACATGTTATTACTGAAAAATTGTCTAATCCCCAGTTTAGGAGGTCTCTTGAAGACTGACAAGTGCTGATTGTTGCTGATTGTCTCTGCAGGGTGCTTAAGGTGGGGTGTTGATTATTTAGCTGATTGGTTTGGGGTTTGGACTGATATGTGTGGAATTATTTCAGGCTCTGTCCTGTGAAGGGAAGGGGAACCAACTGCTTGCTACCACAACAACACTCCCTTGATGCAAACCCCAGGTAATCATCCCATTTTATTCCTGCTTGCCAGGTTAATGCCCACCAGCAAGGAGTGGGGTATCAAATGCTGGGAAACATCATCACCATCGGGTTGGCCTTCCTGCCATTCCTCTACAGACTGTTCCACACAGATAACCTGGAGCAGCTCTGCTCCATTTCTCTGATGGAGCTTCTGCACATCTTCTGTGGAGCCCCTGCCAGCACCCCTGTGCTCATCCTGTCTGCCATCAACTTTCTGGAAAGGCTGTGCTTAACCTGGATGTTTTTCTTCATGATGTGTGTTGCGGAGAGAACCTACAAACAGGTGGGTTTAAATATCCTGGTGCCTTTCAGGAACCTGGAAAGCAGGAATAAAAATAGGATGATGACCTTAAAGCTCATCTCATCTCAGCCCTTGCCAAGGTCAGGGAGGGGAGTCTGGGAAGGCTCTTATTGATCAGTCACAAATTATACTTATCAATATCATTCCTGAAACCCCTGTTCCCCCCTTACCTGTCCCCAAGGTCTTACTCTGTCCCCTGGCCAGAGAAGCTGTGGCTGTCCCATCCCTGGAAGTCTTCAAGGCCAGGTTGGACAGGGCTTGGGGGAGTGGAAGGTGTCTCTGCCTGTGGCAAGGGCTGGAAAAAGATGAGCTTTAAGGTCCCTCCCAATACAAACCAATCTGGAATTTTATGAAAACAATTGCTGCTAGGGAGGTTGAGCAGCCAGGTCTCATGCTGGGCTTCCCCAGGGACCCTTTTTTCCAGGTACCACCAAGAATCCCAAGCAATCTGTTCTGTTTTAAGAACTAAGGCATGGCTGTGTTTTTAACTTGCAGAGATTTTTGTTTGCTAAGCTCTTTAGCCACATTACATCTGCTCGGAAAGCCAGGAAATATGAAATCCCTCACTTCAGGCTCAAGAAGGTGGAGAACATCAAGATCTGGTTATCCCTTCGCTCCTACCTGAAGGTGAGTTCTGATCTGGGGTTTGGTTATTGCATGGGGTGTGCCAGTGCCAATGCCAGTGCCAGCTGTTTGTGGTGAGTTGTGGCTGCATACCACACTCAGCCCTGACACAGTGTCCTTTTTTCCGCAGAGACGAGGCCCCCAGAGATCTGTGGATGTTGTGGTGTCCTCAGTCTTTTTACTGGCTCTTTCAATTGCTTTTATCTGCTGTGCCCAGGTGAGATTTTAACCTTTGTGGTTTATAAAGTAGGGAAAATCCTCCCAAGTGCTGAAGGCTTTTCTTCCACCAGCCTACAAAAGGCTTGAAGTGGAGCTGTTTGACCCCAGAGCAACACAGAGAGTGTAGCATTTTTTAAGAGCTTTGTCATTTTTAGATGGAAGAAGAGGTTTGTTCTGTGCTTGCAGAGCAAGGTCAGGGGGTTTATCATCAGGAAAACTTCAGGACCTGGCCATTTGGGCACAAAGGAGAGGAGACTGCCCAAAGACCTCAGGTGTCCACAGAACATTTATTCCAGAGGGCTGATTGAAGCATGCTCTGTAACTACCATGTGGAAAAGCAGGTCAAGAACTATTACTGGCACTTTTTAACCCTTAACTAAACCTGTTACAGGCAGCAGTGCCAATGCTGGAGCTGGTTTCAGCTGTCAGTGCTGTGTTCAGGCAGGTCCTTGATCCCCTGAAGCAGCAGCTGTGGTAGCAGAGGCTGGTGTTTGTAGATAATGTCACTGCTGTGACTGTTCTTGTAAGCCACAGGTTTCCAGAGGAAGGAATGACAATCCCAGTTGTGCTGTGTGAGTCCATACTGGGAAAGGCAGCACCAGCTTAGCCTGGCTGAGGCTGCCAGTGGGGCAAGGAAAGGCACTTCATTGCCTGTTAGTTGAACAGAGGGAGGGGAGAGGAGGAACAAGGCTCCTTTTCTGAGAAGAAGGAAAAAAATATCCAATTCCAAGCTAAAGGCAGGTTAGAAATGAGACCTTTCCCTGTAACCCCATCACAGGAGTGATTTACACTTCCTGGGAAGAGCTGTCAGTGGCTGTAGAGCACACAGGGCAGGGCAGAGGAGCACCAAGGGTAGTGCTTGTGCACTTGTCTCAAGAATAGGCACTTTGTCAGTGACATTTGGTGCCTTGTTTTCTCCCCATATAGGTTCTTAAGGGTCACAAAACCTTTCTCAATGCAGCTTACAACTGGGAGTTCCTGATGTGGGAGGCAGCACTGCTCCTCTTTCTGCTACGTCTGGCATCTCTGGGCTCTGAGACCAACAAGAAATACAGCAACATTTCCATCCTGCTCACTGAGCAGGTAGCTCCCTTTAGCTTGTTCTCCCCTGGGCTTGGTGGTTTGTTTGGATATAATTATTGTATTTCAAACCAGTTTAAATACTGGAATCAAATTTTAAAATGTAGGAATCAACCCATGTGTTAGCCAGAAGGCAAGAAATCACTGGTCAGCCTGGGAGGGATGAGCTGGTCCTGTTGGGACAGTTCTAGAATATTTCTGTGTTAATTTGCATTAGCCAAAACAATTGGAAAAGAATGAAATTATCAGTGCTAAATTCACTGCTTCAGGCGTGACAGCAGCCTGCAAAAATGGCTCAAATTTCCCTTAGTTAGGAATAAGCTGGGGTCTGGTGCTGGAACATCAACCCCTGGCCTGTGATGTCTGTCACAGATAAACTTGTACCTGAAGATGGAGAAGAAGCCAAACAAGAAGGAGCAGCTGTCTCTGGTAAACAATGTGCTGAAACTGTCCACAAAGCTGCTGAAGGTGAGATGCTCCAGTTGAATGGCTGGAGTTTATGGAAGCAGGGAGTTATCGCAATGCCACGTGGCCCTGCCCTTCCCTTGGCTCTTGGAGTTAGTGCTCACAAAGATGTTTTTTCAGTGCTGCTGAAGCTGTGACAGTGCTGTGAATTAGTGCTGTGAACTCTCAATGAGCAATGCTTTAACCAAGTGAGAGGAGAGACTGGGGGGAGCACAGCATCTCCTGACTGCTCCAGTCTCATTTTCCTTCAGTAGCTCTGATGCTGGAGCTCACTTCCAGCAGCAGAGAGAGATTTGGGAAGGAATGAGCAAAGTCTGGGAGTCCATAGACTGGGTCAGGTGATTCTGCAGCCTGGAGTGTCAGGCTCTGGTGCAGCTGGGGTTGTTGCAGAGATCTTGGGTTCAGCAGGAGATGTCTCTGGAACACTGGTAATTCCTGTACATGTATTTAAGAAAGGACCCAGAGGCAGCCCACTCTGTTGGAGTGCCAGTGCTAAGCTAAAAGTCAGAGGATGAATTCTTTGGTATTGGTGAGTGCTAATGGACCATTGTCCTTGTCCTGTCACTTCAGGAGTTGGATAGTCCATTCAGGCTGTACGGACTGACCATGAACCCACTGATCTACAACATCACACGGGTTGTCATCCTGTCTGCTGTCTCAGGAGTGATCAGTGACTTGCTAGGATTCAATATCAGAGTAAGTGTCCCTGTCCCAGCCAGCAGAGCAGCTCTGGGGTCACTTCTGAGGCCACAGCCCTGAGAGAGGCCTGGGTTTGCACTGGGAACCCAGACACCAGAACGTGCTGGGTGTGTCCCCACCTCCCTGAGCCAGTTTTGGGGGGAAGGACAGGGCTCACTTCATTTTCAGTTTCCTTCAGGTGAAGCTGTGAGAATCCAGGGCTCCTCCCTTTATCCCAGTCCTCCTGTGGCTCATCCTGAAACTGAGCAGAGCAGGATGGGCAGGAGACACAGAATGTTACCTGGAGATTAAGACCATTCCTCTTAGACTCAAACTCCCTTTCTTGTCTCTTTGCAGTTATGGAAAATTAAACCATGAATTGGCAGAACATCAGCCCTGGGCATCTCCACCAGACACCAGAGAAGAACCAGCAGTGTGGGCAGAAAGAGAAAAACTGACAGAAATCTGTAATTCCAATTTTTAAACAGATTCCCAGTGTATGTATCAGAAGTTTTCTTTCTGCTTTACTGCTCTACAGCATCCAGAATGAACTGGTCTCATCATTGATGTCATCCCATGGCATGCACAGAAAAACTGGATTAATGGGGCCAAATCCTGGCAGCTGCACTGAACCAGCAGGAGCTGGTTGGGACATCAAACACTAAAGCCATGTAAGAGCTGCAGCTTGGGGGACACCAATGGCTGTGACTGGGGCCATGTTTCTGTAAAACCTGGACCCTGAGCATGTGACAAGGAGGGACTCAGCCCTCCTGGCCCAGTCAGCCTTCCTGGGGCTGCACTGGAATATTCCAGAGTGAGAATCCTTTGCTGCACTGACCTGGCTGTGAAGAGCTTTTCTTTCTTAAAGCTCTGTGTGCTCAAGGCTTTGCCTCCATCCTGAAGCACCCCAGGATGCACCAGGTGAATTCCCTCTGCTGCCAATCCAGCAACACCCAAATACTGCTGGTGGCTTGTGCTGGGGCTGCTGCAAAGAAATTATCAGTATTTTTTGAGGACAGTGGTTACAGGAGAAAAACCTTTCAACACACACTACAAGCAAAGTGTTCATGAGCTGGAGAATGCTTTGCCACATCTGTTGCCTGGAATACTCAGCTCCATCCTGTCCTGGCTGTGACAACAGCTCTGCTCCATGGTGTGAGCAGCTGTTGCAGCCCAGCACTGCAATAGAGCCTCACCCTGAACATCTGGGGGGGAAAAAACAGCTTTGACAAAAGACTTCCTCAAGTTCATGTTTAGAAAGGTCATGGAGAGCAAGAAAATATTGGAAGGCTTCTGTAATATTTCCCTTCACTGGCTCAAATGGCTTTTATTTATTACTAGTGAAAAGAGCAAAAATTGATGAACTTCTCATTCCTTCACAGGAGAGTCAAATGGCAGAAGAAGTTTTGGTAGTCAGTTGTTTACAGCTATTTTCTGTACAAGGAAACGTTGTGAGATGTAAAAGGAGGTGACAGTTTTATATAGCAAAATGTGCAAATAAACCTGCTGGTCAAGCACTTCATCATTACCAATGGTTTCTACAGCACTTGCTGGTTTTTATATCATGTCTATGAACATCTGTTACTGGAATGGAGGGTCAAGGAAACATCCAATAATAAATTACATTTCTTTTCCAGAAAAGCAGCATGTTTATGGATGAAACCTGGGTCACAGCCCTGAAAGCCAACCAAGAGCCTGGTTTAGACAGTGCAGAACCAACAGACCACAAACTGGAGTTGGGTTTTAAGATCTCTGTAAAAATAATGAGTGATTTGCAGGTCTCTCTCCAGTCAGAACCTCAGGAGTCTGTGTGAAGGTGCTGTGCAATAGGTAATTATTTACAGCCAGCACATCCATCCATTGTGTAGCATTCCAATGCCAGGTGGATGCAGGAAGCACAGAGAAAGGTCTAGGTAAGGGGAAATCCCACACAGGTAGGACATTATCAGGTCATATTCACACACAGGAAAACAGGGGAGCTGATGGCAGGGAAATCATTTCAGTGCTGCCAGTTCCTCTGGAATTCAAGGTCTGGATTTGTCACTGTCCTCAGTGGTCAGGATGAGGGCACACAACATAACCCAGCCTCTTGGGGAAGAACACAGCTATTATATCTGCACAGGCTACTCGGAGTATTTATTAAATATTTCACAGCCCTACTTCAGCCAGGGAGGATTTGTATGTGTTCTGCTCCCCAGCAAACCTCAGTGGATCACCCAGCAGCTGAACACTGCCTTAAAGCCCTTTGAATTCCCAAAGTCTTTGTTTTAAAAGCTGTTGGAGCAGTCAGCTGTCCTTGTGAAGAATTCCATTCACAGCTGCCTCAGTGTGCATTGTTAGCCTTTAAAAACATCTAAAGTTTCAAAGCCAAAATGAGATATTTTCTTACTTTCAAAGAACAAATCCTATCAGTTTGAATTTTGAGTGAATGAAGCTCAATCTTTTATTCCTTTCTCCTACAAACTGAACCAATGGGCTCCTTTCCCACTTTGCTGCAGTCATTAAATACTTCAGATGTCAGGAAATCACTAAATTATGAATAAAATAAACCCCTGCAGTCTGTTCTGACGGCCATGAGGCTGATGTGTCAGTGAGTTCTGGGATGTTATCACATCCCACTGTAAAATATCCCTGCCAGCCCAAACCACAGGTGTGAGTGCCATCAACACTCCTTGATTACTCATTCAGAGAAAATTGGTGAGAGTTCTTACACACACAGGAAAAAACTACACTGAGGAAGCTGCTCTGGAAGCTTCTGTCCCAAGGTCAGTTTTTACCTCTACAGAGAGAGAAAATCCAATTCCTAATCAGCAATAAATAATTAAAGATGGGACTTCAGTCTCAGCTCTACAGCCAGGCTGAGGATGTCATGTTGCCACGAGTGAAACCAAAGGAATTATGTTACTGAACAAAGCCCAGAGCTTTCTCTCTTCATGCAGATGTTTGCAAATCAAATCCCCCTGAACTGAGACACTGAAGTGATTGTGCTGTGTTCAGAAAAAGCAAAATTACAGAATTATGTCAAATATCATGTTTAACTCCAGGGTTTTGTGTTGGATACAAAAATCCAAGGAAATAAATCAATGGAGCAGTATTAAGTGGCTTTGCTGCCCTGGAACTGACAGAACCAGAATCAGAACAGAACCCTGTTCTCCCTGGCCCAGCAGGACCACGAGGGATTCCTGATGTAAACATGCACTGAGAAAAGCCCCACTCCAGCCCAAACCTGCCTTGTCTGTGGCTGGAACCCACGTGTGAAGGATTAGATGGACTGGATACAGGAGATAGCTTGGCACAAGAGTAGGGAGTGACTCAGGACCACACTGGCAGCAGAAGCATTCAATAACTTTGTTCAGAGCTCCCAAGCTGCAGCAGGGCAACCTTGGAGCAGCTGACATGGCCTGCAAAGGGACAGCAGCTCATGGCAGTGTTCCTGAAGCCATCCACAGGGCCCCTCATGCTGCTTAGATAAGGACAAATCAAATTTCTTTTGACTTTCTCCCCTCTAACCAATTTCTGAGGGGAAAAAAAAAAAAGACAACTATGTGAAAATAACTAATGTTTTAAATGAGCCTCATTGGAAAATTGATCAGAACATGTTCTAAAAATCACAGTCAGTCACTCCCACTGTCCAGCCACTCCTGCTGCTGGGGTGCCCTTCCAGCCCCTGGGGACCCTGCATGGCTCAGGAATTACTGGTGTTTTCCTCACTGCAGAATTCCCCTCAGGCTGGGAAGTTCCATCTCTGGTTTCATTGGCATTTCCGTGATGTCTGTTCACTGTCAGCCTCCTGTGTCTCCTGGAAGGCAGTGGGATACTGCAAAGGCTGGAGATTTTGAATTTCTGCCTTTTCAGAACTGGACCTGGCTAATGAATCATCATTAGATGATCATGAGATGAAAAACTCAGAGGTTTTTCTCCTGGAACTCCTGAAGGGAAGGTTATTCCCATCAAACACTGGGTAGTGTCACTCTGCAGGGCACCCTTCTGCCTTTCCTGGGGTTTTCTGCTTCTGCTCTTTCTTGATGACTCCTGGTTTAGCATTCCCCCCTTTCAGCTGCTCCACAGTCACCTTATCACCACCAGGTGTTCTGCCTTGGATCCTTCCCACTGTTTCTGATCTTCCTGGCTTGCTGAGATGCCTTTGGGGACTGGCTGACCTTCCTCCATTCCCATGGAAAACTCTTTTTTGTCATGATTTCTGTGGTTTTACTCTTACTCCTGGAACTGTCTGGTTTTTTTTCAGGATCCCCATTCCTGGGGCTGTGGAATCCCTTGTGGAGGTGACCCTCAGCAGCCCCTGGCTTTGCTGGACTGGCAGATCTGTCCCTTCTGGTCCCTGCTTCCAAACTACCTTTAGTGATTCCAAACCCAGGGCTGGAGGGACATTCCCATCTCTTCTGTGTTTTCTGGGGAGAAGACTGAGGTGTATCTTGTCCGGCACAGCGTTCTCTGCTTGTTCCACCTCCTCAGACACCTGAACTCTGGTAAAGCTTCTTCTGGTGCTGGTAAATAGTGAGTTATGCAGATGAAGAAGCAGAATGGGAAGATGAAGATCGTGGTGACTGCTCCTCATAGATTACATTTGCTGAAGCTGGATTGTTGCTATGCCAATCACCTGGAAGTGAACAGTGAGAGATTTGACCAAATAACTACAAGAAAAGTAATAATCACTAAATATTTCAGAATTTCAGGACCTCGGCAGCAAATATTGAGCTCAATTTAAATAACAGTATGGAGTGGCATATTCTCAAAGCCTTTTTTATCCAGGTTTCTGTATTGTGTTTTTCTAAAAACCTGCAAAAACCCTGAGGATGTGATTTTGGAAAGAATCCCTGGTGCTCAGAATGCTGGATCCCTGCAGGACTGACACGGTCTGGGTTCAAAACAGTTTTAGAGCCTACACAGCAAAATTGCAAAATAGAAAGTCCCTGACCTACATTGTTTAATAAAGCTAAATGAACTGGATCTGTTATGCTAAAAAAAATTTGAAACAGTGGAAGGTTGGGGTTATTCATTCCAAGAGATGAAACCAAAGACTTACAGATTTACCAAGTCTTTGGGGAAAGAACAAGGAAAGCACTGGAAGCCTTTAATGTTGCTCAGGTTCCACATAGGGAGAGACTGGAAGGAGCCAAACCTGAAGGAGTTTGGTGCTCCAGAGGCTCCTTCTTGTGGGATTCTGTTTGTCCCTTGGCTCAGGGGGTTTCTGTGAGCAGCAGGGCCAGGAGTGATGGTCAGAATCCTTTTTCATCTCTCAGGAGGAATGAAATGAAGACAGTTCCAAGCAGATTTTCCTGCTTCCTGAAGTTCTGGCTCTGAAAAATAAAGCATTCTGTAATTTAGAAACTTAAAGCAGGAGTAAATCTGTACAGATATATTTTAACAATATTTGAAACTTTGAACTGAGCACTGGAGCTCAGAGAATTTTAATATAAATTAAAAGGCAATAAGAGTTAATCAGCACATTTCTGTAGAAAAACTCGATTAGTTGGGAAGAGTTGAGAGATTCATTACAAATATGGAATAATTTCACACTGTGCAATATTCCTACATACTTGTCATGTGCTAATTCTACCAAAAATATTCCTTATGTTTTAAAAAAAAATATTTGAATTTTCAATTTTTATATTTTAATTTTCAATTCAATAATAAAGCACCTGGACTCTCTCACAAAGGGAAGTGACAGTGAAGAGACAGCAGAACCTCCTGATCCTACTTTCCTGCCCTGCCTTGGACCCTCAAAACCAAACAGCCAAATTTTGGCACAGTCCCTGTGCTCAGCAGCAGCAGAACTTTGTTCCCTCAGCCTGAATCAGCTCAGTGGCTCCTGTGTGAGAGATGCCTTGGGGGGGCTCTCCATGGATTTCCACAATCTGGTCACCAACCCCAGGAGGAAAGAGCAGCAGGTCAGTCCTTGGGAATCTCTGACACTGGGGACTGATTTTTAATTGAGGAAAAAAAATAATACAGGCAGGTTCTTCTGTTTTCCATCTGGGGCTAAAATCCAGTGGCAGTGGTGACAATTCTTGGGATAAAGAGCAGGATGTGACCCCAGGCTCAGGAGGTTCAGAGGTGCATGCTGGGCGTGTGCTCAGGAAAAGACTCCAGGGATTTGAACCCCAATTCCTATTTATTTACAAACAGATAGTAATTATTTATCTGCACATAAATAGGAAATACATGAGGAGCTGTGTCACACCTGCCCGAGATCACATTGCCACAATGTGACCTCCCCAAATGGGGATTTGAAGGCCCCAAAAATGGAGGGAACTTGCCAAATTATTTAAAGTACAACAGAGTTTTCCACAGCCCAGCTCCAGGAAAGGTGAGGAACTGATCCCAGAGCCACACTGGGGGAATGAGTTCACTGACAGGAATTTTTAACTGTTTTGTCTTCTCCCAAAAGCTGGGTAAAAATTGGAGTATAATATCATTTTAATAAAGCCATTTAAAATAACTTCATATTATTTTCCTGTCCATGGCAAAAATGTTATCATGCACTTTACAATAAATCCCATGCATTTGTGGA